AGGTGCAATTGTCGTGGCTCGCTAGTAAGAATAGAACTAGTGATATCAATCTAAATTACATTTTGTTGTATTTATTTTATCTCCATTTCCTTTGAATTTTACATGTGAATGGGAAAGTGAAAGATTGCTTATGTTTAAAAGCATTTTCTTATTTCACTTATTACAAATATCTTCTTTTGGTCTGTACTTGTTATATTCCCTTGTCAATTGAATCTATTGAAGTGTTGTTCATATTGAAATGAATCGAAATTGATAAGGAGTTGGTTAATAATGCTCGAATATGTACTTGTTTTGAGTGCCTATTTATTTTCTATTGGTATCTATGGATTGATCATAAGCCGAAATATAGTTAGAGTCCTTATGTGTCTTGAACTTATATTGAATGCGATTAATATAAATTTCATAACTTTTTCTGATTTTTTTGATAGCCGCCAATTAAAAGGAGATATTTTTTCATTTTTGTTATAGCTATCGTAGCCGTTGAAGCAGCTATTGGACCGGCTATTGTTTCATCAATTTATCGTAACAAAAAATTAACTCATATTAATCAATCAAATTTGTTGAATAAATAGTATTAATCAGAAAAAAAATTTGAATTTTGAATATTGAAATTTGGATATTTATCAATTCAAATTCACATGTATGATAACGTACGATCATCTTTACAAAAACGTAAGAAATCAAAGTATCTTGGCCCTGTCTTATGAATTGATCTAGAGGTAGATTAATTAGAAAAATTTTGGTAAATTATTGATTCATCTAGTGTCGAAATATATGATTCATTTACAAGTTTACTAGATCGAAAATTGCTAATGTTCAAAAATTAATAGAGCCAATGTTACATTCGGTAAAGATTTATGATACATGTATAGGATGTACTCAATGTGTTTCGAGCCTGCCCCACAGATGTATTAGAAATGATACCTTGGGATGGATGTAAAGCTAAGCAAATATCTTCTGCTCTAAGAACATAGGATTGTGTTGGTTGTAAGAGGTGTGAATCCACCTATTCGATAGATTTCTTGAGTGTTCGAGTTTATTTATGCATGCATGAAACAACTCGAAGCATGGGTCTAATTTATTGATATGTTTCAAAAAACCATATACGAATACCATTTTTTTACTGACAAAAACCCGTGCTCAAAATAGAAAAAAAATTCTAAATTCTACTGTCTCTCTTTTACTCGTACATCGCACGGGGTAAAAATCTAGTTTTCAAATAAATGTCATAAAATTCAAAAGGTGCAGTCAAGTCTCTTGAGACTTGAGTACAATTTAAAATTAGGATATAAAAATAATAATACCCCTATTAAAATATATTACATCAATCAATAGGTTACAACTATCACTTTAATATTTTACAATTTTAACTTCATATATTCAATAGTTAAACTAATTATATGTGACAAGTTTAAAATTAAACTAATTGTGTATATAACTAACTTTCAGTAATTCACAACTATTATTTCAATATTTTACAATTATAAATTTATAGATTTAATTGTTAAACTGATCATACATTACTAACAAAATTTAATGCTAATTATTTATTACTACCTTATCATAATTTAAAATTATCACTTGATTAATAGTTTACAACTATAACTTTACCTATCTAATAGGTAAATCGATCATGTGTCACTACTAAAGTTTGACACTAGTTTTTTATAACTATTTTGTTTATAATTTTTACAACTATCATTTTAATTTTTTACAACTATAATTTACTTATTCAATAATTAAATTGATCATACATTAAAAATAAAAATATTATTCTTTACACTCTAATTTCAAATAACACTTATATCTCAAAGGACCTGAATGTGGCTTCTAAATTTTATTTGTGTGTGTGTGTGGCGGGGGGGGGGGCACTAGTCAATAGAGAGTGGGGAGATGGCAGAAGAATTTTTGAGGAAGTTAGAGAAGAACAAATTTATACTCCTTCTAATTTTATTTATAAATTTTTAATATATTTCATCAAAATTAAAAAACTTTAAATTTTATAATTTTATTTAAAATTTAATAAATTTTTACCTCTACTCTCTAATAAGGACAAAAAAAATTATTCTATTTTTAATAAACTTTTCCTATTATTTAATAAGAACATAAAGATGAACATAGAAATAATTAAGTGTGCTATGAATAGAACCTAAATTAATCTTTATTCCAAAGGCTTGCACGTGTCTCATCTTGTTTAGTTCCCCATTTGTCCTCAGTTTATTTATTTATTTATTTGTTTTAACTTTTGTTTCCTCATTGAGAATCAAGAGGGGGACACACTCTTTTTTTCTTTTTAATGCAGAGCTACGAAAAACTGTAGACACTAATCAGTTTATCTCAAAATGTACAAAGCTTGTGTTCTTTATATGGGTGGTTGTACAAAAATTCTAGTGTCCAAATTATTGTTTGATGTAGATCGCGTGTACCAATTTGTGCGTGTCTATATATTTACTTTTCTATAAGCGTAGTCGTAAGTCATAATAGAATCTCTCATAACCAAATCTTAGCAATAGCATTTGATAGAGAATGGTTCAAGGCACATGAACACCCCCTATTAATTCACCTAATTGACTGAAGAAGGACTCGTGGGATTTGGTTGAATACATTTTAGAATCTCTTTAGAACTCAATCTATTATTAATTCAACGATTCTTTTGCAACCTAACCATAATTTTTCCTGAGAGAATGATAAAGAGATTCTTAAAGGATTAATTAATTTAACTTAAGTTTCAAATGTCAAACTTTAATAATTTACAAATTCGTTGTAATGAATTTACAATTAGTTTTTTTAAATTTTAATATAGTTGAAAAATAATAAATTTATTTGCTCCATCAAAATTTGAAATATAAATTACAAATTCATCACGACGAAATTGTAAGATTAAAAACTGAACTTACAAATTTATGAAATTTGGCAATTGGAATATAAGTTGAATTAATTGGTCCCTTTTAAGACATATCTATCACTCCCCCATTTTCCCTTTCATTTATCCGTCGGTTGCTTTGACAAATTTCATCAGAAAGACTCAAATCTTATATATTAACATCACTTTCATTTACACTTTTATCAACTATATTAATTAAAATGGTTTCCTTTCGGCTGTGTATGCACCACTAACTATACACTATCATATATAAGAATTCAGTCCAAAAAGACCATAATGATATAAACTGCATAATGCCCTTTTCAATAAGATAGGGGGTCAATCAATTAGGACCTGTTTGTTTGTATTACTATTTTTTATTTTTAAAAACTTTTTGGCAATATAATTTTAAAATTTCAAAACAAAAAATGAAAATCTATTTAATTATATTAATTTTAAAATAATTTTAAAATTAAAAAAATAACTGATTGTCATAGTTGCTGGCCATTAATGATAGTGACTTATGATATTGATTGGTCGAGGATGTGATAATAATTTTCAATAATTAAATATAATGTAATTAGAAAATAAAAAAAAGAGAAAATGAAAACAGTTTTAAGTGTAATTAAATTTAAACTTGCTCTTAAAAAAAGTTTTTATTTTTTTAATTAATTTTTATTGGTCGAGGATGTGAATTTTTATTTTTTAAAAAAAAAAGTTTTTAAAAATAAGATCTAAACATGCTCTTAATCACTTGTTTTCCTTCATTGAGGTTTAATTTTAAAATCAATCATCAGGTTACAGCCAAAACATTCACTCATCCAAGTTCTGAACTTTTTTGATAGATCTGAATTTCGTGATTGTATTTAGTGCAGCACTGAGTGCTTGTAGCATCTAAACTGTTGAAATCCAAATCAATCGTTCAGATAAAGTTACTTATTTATTAATTTTAGAGTGGGATATAAATTCAAAATCATTGATTTAAATTTTAATAATTTAAATGCTACATGCATGTGATACTTATATTAAGTACAATCATAAATTTTTTTTTTTTCTTGGTCTGTGCTTGAGACTTTGCTTGCGAAATTAAAGGATCACTCAATTGGGTATGAACATAGTCTAATAATAACTTACACGTTCCCCGGGCCCGCGGGGTGGGGAAGGTAAGATCTTCACGCGGTTCCGCGTTTGTTATCGTTTATTATTTTTTTGGTGTAAGCGGTAATTGTTGTTTATATTCTTAGTCAATTAATTAATACATTAGATTTTGGTTTATAGTTTTTTGTGTTTTTTGGTTCAAACATAACATCAAATACTCTCTTCGCTAAAACATTAAAGACATTTTTCTCATTTGAATGTTAAAAACTATAAAATATATTTAATTTTTTATATATAAGTAATGAGTTTATTTTTTCAAAAAACAAACTCCAAATAAATCACTCATCAGCTAATTTAGGTGAAACACTCTATTAATTAAAAGTTTGCATGAAAAATGCTTTATATTTTGAATGAAGAGTAAAAAAATTTTAAATGTATGAGATCATGAAATGCTAATTAAATTTTCAAGTCTAATTTTTAATTTAGATTAAACATATTTATGTTATAATCTATTATTTAAGAATATTAAGGTAGAAGTTTGAGAGAAAGAGAATAAAATAATTAATTCACAAAATTCTCAAGGGGACAAGAGTCTATCTGTCCATTTAAATTATTATAAAAGGATTTTTTTTACAAGTTTGTCCAAGTTAATGTGAAGCACTCCCTATTTAAGGTCACTGCTTCTATTACGTTTTATCAAAACTACTAAAAATATTAAAACTCTTAATTGCATCTAAAAATTTAAACATTTTCACTATTAAATATACACATTTTAATAACGTATTTTTTTTATTAATATTTAATGAGAATAAAAAGAACTTGTGACAAAAATTTAATTATACATATATAAATCATAAATAGAATGGAAAAATTCTACTCTATCTATCTTATAAATAAGACCAGCCAAAAGGAGCAAGTCATGATAAAATTATCATTCCTAAGGACACGCAACTTAATCTATAAGTATGATTTACATCTTTTAATTTCCTTAATTAATGTTAAAACACTCCTTACATGTGTACTAAAAGCATTGACAGATCTTATAATTGATCTCTCTTTTATCTGTCGATAATGAAGGCACGGGCTCTTCTTCCCTTGTGTTGCCGGAGCTGGACATCATTGGCATCACCACCATGCCGGAGAAGACAGCACCGTGTAGGCGGCGAGGTGGTTGTGAGAGCAAGCGGAGGAAGAGAGCATCACCGGTGGGGAAGGCTGGTGGATGAGAACATGATCGTCCTGAGACTGCGAATAAGAGAGATGAAAATGATGGAGAAAAACAACGACGAGGAAGAAGAAGAAGAAGAAGAAGAAGAAGGAATGATGGAGTGGGAGAGAAAGTATTACGTGGGTGAATATGGGGAGCATGTTTGTGTGGTCGTAGGATTGTTGCAGGGTTATTTAATGAGTGTGAGCCTTGTTTTGCTATGGTTTTGATGCTTCTTGTTACTTTGAGTGTGTTCATATCTTCTGGGGTGCTTCTCTTTAACTCTATCAAGACGGTGAACGCCTTCTTCTTATTTCTCGTGTGTCTGGTGTTGAAGTTACGAGCTTTCATTACTCTCTAGGTTTTCATCATGTAATCAGTGAAAGGGGAGGAGATTATATGTAATGATGAAACTGATATTAATTAATTACCTTTAAGATTTATTTGTTTTGTTTTTGTTTTAATTATGAATTAATATTTAACTATATATACTTGTGATGCTGACAAGTATCATAGCTTAAGTTGGTTTAATCCGAAGTCTTCACCAGTTAGAAGAGTTCGTACAATTAGATTTGACAATATCAGGTTTAGGTACCTCATAATCACCATTTAGCAATTGCGACAGAGATGTTATAACACTAATGTTGATTAGGAGAGAGAGGGAAAACACATGCGTACACACTATCTGGGCAAGAATTAATGAAGACGTAAATTATTTGCTTTCATATTTATTAAGTTCTAGGGTTGGGGTAAATTTGGTAAAGTAACTGGTATTTTTATAGCTCACTTCTAGCATATTTTACCAGTTGAAATTAAGAAAAAACCTTTAAAACCAGTTAAATTTATCTAAAATTTAATAAATTTTTAATTTTGTTCGTATTAAATTAACATATAATTGAATAATATATTTTATCTTACCAACATTTAATTGAAGGTATAATAGAAAACTTTGTGATACAAATTTAATGATATGATAACTTATAATATGGATGGAACAAAATTATTTTCTTTCTATCTCATGAATAAAATTAAAAGGAGTGTATAATATGTTTTAAAATTGAGGGAGTTGTGCTCTGACTCTATAGAGGCTGTACATCAATCACGAATATGCATGACCAAAGTCCATAGCCTTGTCTTTTAGGATTGTGCAGATATTAGATGTCTTTTGATGAAGAATTCGGAGGTAAAGCCTGTAATTAAACAAGAGGGTTGGCCCTTATGATAGCTTCGCCTTTATGAGCTTAAGCTCTTAAAATAAGGCATTTTTTAATATCAATATCATGGTTAAACATGTAAACCCTTATTTATTTTTATTTTTAAATTTTTTAAAAATTAGATTTTATATTAGAATATTACATATCCATTTCATATAATACAAATTATAATTTCAAAAATAAAAAAATAAGTAATTTTAATTTAATTTTAAAGTATAAACACATGTTTTAATGTCTAAATTTAATTTAAAAATAAAAATATCTCATTTTTAGGATAAACCCAAATACATGCCGAAATAAATATCATGAGCCCGAATCCACTTTTTCAAGATTTAAATAGGCCGGACTGAAAAAGCTTTTATATAAAATACCCAACTTTTAAAGCCAGAACCCTAAAAAGAGACTTAAATAGATAGTCCAATAAACCTGGCATATATTCCCGGGTTTTGAAAGTTTCTCTTAAGCATGTTTACGACAAAATGCCAAAAACTGGTAATTTTGCTCACAACATGTTCATGGATTCTACAATTCTTAAGAATCTTCTCTGTATGAACCATATTCGTCTTCTTAAGTCTTTGAGCTCGAAGAGAGCAGATTTTTATGTTAGTTTATTGCTAATGATAGGTAAACTGCATTGGCATTAATGCATTAATGAGTCATAAATAAATAATTAATGAGAAGTCATAAATGCCTCCTCCACGAGTGCTAAGAAAGAAAAAAAGACTTGTGGAAGTTATTATATCAATGAAGTCCTATACAAATCTTCCCTATCAAATTCATAGTGCAGTAAAATGAAGCTCCATAACAATGGTGAAAGCTTCAACCCTTTTAGCTTGCTTTATTTTATCTTGTTCACATTATCGGGTAACTAAATCCTTAGTTTTCTTTAATTATTTTCTCAATTGTCTATGAATTTGCGGTCGAGTTTCAATTTCAAATTAAAGTTTATGAGCATGACACGTTCCAATTAAACCAGAAGTGCTCCTAATTGATTATATAGTGTCATGTTGCTTTCGTTAAAGCTATTAATAAGGGTGGGTCGGGGTCCTTCGGAATATCCGTTTAAATCTTGTACTATTATGAAAGGCAGGCTGAAAAATGGAAGATTTTTGCATAAAAAACTTTTAGGCATAACTTTATAATTCTTTTAAAATGGCTTGAGTTAAGGTTAATTCTTTTAGGACTTGCATTTTTTTTTCCTTTCGTTTTTATAGTCAGTTAAAATTGTTCAAAAATTGTATGGTTGAAATTATTGATACGGTAAACATAACATGTTGAAATTGTTTGATTTACTTTAATTATGAATTAAATATGGAGGTAAGATAATTTATTAAATTGTCTATAAGCATAATTAGAACTATAAATAAAATTTTTTACAAACTTTCAGGCCTAACTCTAAGCTCTGACAATGAAACTTGTGTTTAATAAATACCTTTTTAGTCCTATTTACAAGTCATTTCTATCATTTTTATTAAAATTAAGGAAAATTTTAAACTTCATTCACTCTTGTCTAAAAATTCAATATGTTTTCAACTTTACCCCTATTAAATATATATATATATATATTAAAAATAAAATACTTTAACATTTAATAAACTTCCAACATTTAATAGGAGCAAAATAATAAAGATGATATAATAATACTTGAGATAACTATGAATAAGATCAAAGTGAATACACCCTCTCTTTCTCTCTGTGCCTATAAATAGGAGTAGAAGTATACAGTGAATTTAAAGTGTAGGGCACAAGGGCAAAAATATTCACAAAGTAGTTAGCCAGGAGCACCCATTATCTTAATGATGAAAAGGACAAAGATACCTATAACATTACATAAGTGAGTGTAAAGTGATTAAACCGTTAACTTTGACCTAACGTCGTTAACTTTGACAGTTAGAGGCTAACTGTGCATACCACATGTCAATCTTTGTTAATATGGACTAATAAAGAGGCAAAAATACCCATGAAGTCATCAGCCAAGAGCAAAAATACCTATAACGTTATCAGAGTTGGTGCAAAAGTGACTAATCCATTAAATCTCTTAAATGTTGACCGTTTAGCTAATAACTAAACAAAAGTTGACCATTTTTTTGATATGGACAAAAATATTCCTAGATGAAATTCTTTAAAGGTTAATCAATTATTGTATAAATATCATGTGAGAAAATATTTTTTTGATCGAATATCAAATCAAATTGCTTGTTTTTTTTATAGTAGTGGCAAAAATCATTTGAAAATTTTAAACTTATCATGAATGAAATACTTAAGGTTGTGACAATGTTCTTAAGGTAAGGCGATGTAGGAGGTGTGCTCAATCTCAATCTTTGATTATGTATAACTTATCTTATTATGTTGAATCTCAGATTTTTTCAGACCAAAAAAATGAGTGAAAAGGAAGGAAGGAAAGAGGTGAGATACGTGGCGATGAAAAGAAATATATGACTGGATTTTGATGAATTAGTCACTATTGCACATGCTTAAGTAACATTATGGGTATTCATATAATGATCGATCAACATTGTAAAAATTTATCTAGGAATATTTTTTATCTATATTAGCAAAAAAAAATAATCAACTTCTGCTTAGATATCAACTAAATGGTAAACACTTAAAGGATTTGATAAATTGGTCACTTTTGTACCAACCTGGATAGTATTATGGGTATTTTTGCTCATAGCCGACGACTTCATGGGTATTTTTGCCCCCTTATTAGTTTACATCAACAAAGATTAATACGTGGCATGCATATTTAGCATTTAACAGTCAAATTAACGATTTAGTTACTTTTGCACCTACTCATGAAACCTTATAAGTATTTTTGCCATGTTTCTCACTTTAAATACTAGGTGCCTATAGCTGATTGCTTTGTGAACATTTTTTCCCTTTTACCTTAAAATATACAAACTTATAGACTTAAGTCTAAAAGTTAGTGAATTAATTGCAAGTTAGGGTTGGAGAGAAACAATTAAAGGAGACAGAAGAATGTGAATGAACAAAATGGGCGATTATCATCCCTGCAATCAGGATACTGATTGCACACATAATTGTGCTGTGTACTGTGGAGGTGCTGGCCACGACTGTCCTCGATGTCTTCAAGATAAGTGTAACTGCAATTGTAATCCTGAGGGATGCCCACACCTCATGCCCTTCCTAACCAACCATGAATTTTATCATATACTTGATATTCTTAGTTTTATAATGGAATAATGAATTTTATCATATACATTTTTATGGTACTATTTATAATTATTTTTTAATATATTTTTGAAATTAAGAAAAATTTTAAAACTTATTAATTTTGTCTAAAAAATTAATAAATTTTTAATTTTATCCTTATTAAATACACACATACTCTCTCAGTCCCTATTATAGGGTCTCTTCTAAAAGAATTCTTTGGTCCTTGATATAAAGTATTAGATGGGGTATTAACTAAAATTTTTTAATACTATCTTTATTTAAAACTCATTAATATGAGAGAGAAGCCAATACAAAATTGAAAAATTTTCATTTAAACAGGGGTATGGTTAGAAGTTTATTATATTTCAAACAAAGTTAATAATTTAATCAATCCTCCTTGCACCAGTGAGATAGTTAAATATGACTTATAACAAGGATTAGAGGGAGTATACTTTAATAATGTACTTTTTCTTATCAATATTTAATGGCTGTAAAAAAATTACGAAGAAAATTTAAAGACATGACTTAAAAAGATAAGATTAAAAAAAAAATCCTTTTCTCCATGCCTTATAAATAAAATATAAATTGTAGGAGTATTCCTCTATGTTTTATTTTTTTAGTTGAAGCCAATGTATTGTTTGACAACTTGATTGGTGAATTGGTAAATTGAATTTCGGTTTGCTTGGAAATGTATTCCATTTAAATTGGTAAATTGAAGCCAAAAAAAAAAGTTGAAGAAAGACGAAAAAATATCAATTTTATTTCATTATCAAGTTCTTCTTTTTCTTTTTAATACACATATCTAGTTTGATTTTTAGGTTGGCTGTTTGGACACGATTTCAACTTAAAGATTCAAGTCATATAATATTTTCATTTACAGCCCTATTAATTAAAAGGATAAAATAGCAAGTTTGCCTCTAAAGTATAAATCTAGAAGTGTTTGGGATCCTAAATTTATTTTGGGTGTAATGTTCTTCAACTTTTAAAATAGTGTAATGTG